TCATATTAATCAACCATTAACTTTTTTTTTGCTGATTACCTTGCAACAAAACTAAACTTAAGAGCAGCACGTAACATTACGTGAGTGGCACGATATGAGATTGTGAAAGTGCAAATGACCAATATGGCGCAAACAAGTAATATTTTAACCCTAACTGTTATATCTGGGTTATCCAAATATATAGCTATCTCGGTCATGTAGTGTTCTATCGTGTTTTAAAACTGTAAGTTACCGATCTCCTAAATTAAGTAAAGCTTTCCATGTTGCTATATATAAAGCTCGATTTTTATTACGTAATTTCAACTGTCCATAATAAAATAATGTACTTATAAGTCATTTTTAGTACCGAAATTCCATAACAAAATTGTAATAATTTCATTGCAGAGACCTAATGTTTAAGTTTCATCATTTTCTTACCAGTAGAACTTATCTAATGCGGAAGTATAATAAATTATAAACTAAAACTTGGACGAAACCACGACCAGGTATTACCCTATTAGTTAAAGCTCCCTTTTGAAACTATGTTCAATTTTGACGTAGTAGATGCGACAAAACCTCGTGGAAACTTGGTGCCTGCTATGAGTAATGTTCGAATACAACCCTAAATAAAACATGCTACGAACTTTCCGTTGCGGGTTCGCTAAGCTCCACGTTAAACCAAGCTTTCAACTAAGTTCACTTACGTAATTCGGGCTTAATTTACGGCTTGCGGACGCATAAATTCGGAGGTCGAGGGAGACCAGAATTGTAATTTCATTCTGTGACGAGGCTCCCAACGTTTGGTCGCTGGTTTTTGCCCAAGGGTTTCGTGGACGTTATCGGTGAAATAATAAGGCGCGTTTCATGGAATTGCCGGAATTTTTAAGCCCGGGTCCGAGAAGGTCGGGCTTCCTCGGTGATATATTGCGCTCCGGCCGAAAGCATCTTCAGAATTTATAATAAAGATATAGCGGCAGATGTGGTCTGAACCGCTCGGCGTACATTGTTTCACCGCTCTCCGGTTATGAAGTACCGTAGTAAGCGACGTAATATTATTTCTTATCTCTCCTTTTCTTACCTCTTTTTCGTCCATTTTCAACGAAGAAGAAATGTAGAAACTTGTAACTTCACTCGGATGGGAAGTTATAAAACTGCTGTTCATTTTATTTTTTTGCGGTATAAACGGAATAATTTCATTTAAGGTTCCAATTAACTGAAAATTATTAACATCCGCAAAACATGCAAGTTTTTCTTTCCATTCGTCCTTATCAGGTGTAATAATCTGCTTCATTAGGGTGTTTCTATAAATCTCAAAGTGTTAACTGTTCATGCAAATAACAGAGCTGATTCCAATCAGTGTAACCTTCGACGTTTTAAATTGAAACGTAACTTACACGCCCGATATGCGATAGCCCATTAAACCCGTAATTAAGACCCCCGCAGCACAAACTTTCCCAATAAGGGCAACTCCCACACGCAAATGCCGTATCGTGCCCCTAAAACGGAGGCGTTAATATTACGAAAGCGAAATTCTCCCGGAATTGATTAATTTCCACCAGTTTCTGACAAGGTTAAACACGTGTCCCTCCTAACAGCTTATATGGGTCACCGTACGCTTACAATGGAACTCTTCTCTTAACTCGCTTTTATCGGGATCTCTCATCTATGTGCGTTCACAACAGTCCGGCTGCTGCTGCATACCCCTTTTTCGCGGCCGCACAATGAACGTGAACCCGTTTTCCTTTTCTTTTAATCCGGACGCGACAATGTGGACCCACGGAGCAAAGACCCTCCGCTTTCGAATGAACTTCTAACTCACCTGTAATATCGGAAGCGAATTGCACGAAACAAATGGTCGGAGAGAGGTCAATGAACCAGCGACGAGGTATACAGAGAGTTTTTAAAGTTTGCGGTTTATCCAGCTTTGTGTATTCGCTTTGTTCCAAAACGAGACCCGAGAAAGGGTCACATCTCATGAAACAAGCTAGAGAAATATCAAGAGACGTTTATCATTGGCGAAACACATCTTTATCTAAAAGGAAATTTAAAATACAAAAAATGTTCATTTTGAGTTATTTCAACCATAAATTTCCGACAACCGCTTGATGTACTGCTTCGCTCGCTTCCAATTGAATGTCCAGTCCACTTGAAGGAGTAACTTGATCAAGATTAATCTCTAACCATTTACATTTCAACTTCAACTAGACCAGGAATTGCATTTGAATATTTCTTTTTCTTTTCAATCTAATTTTATTTATTTATTTACAATGTTTCATATAATACAAAATTTGTTATATTACGCAAGATATAGGAGTCTGATTTTGTCTAAATTAACCTTCTTATTGATACTTTGTCTATTAATTATCAAAAATTTAAAAGTTGCTAACCATAATTTGTTAATTTAATGTTGGCACATCTTCAAAGTGCTGAAAATCCTTTAATATATTTCTTCATAGAAAACAATTTAGGTTAATAGCACTCTACCATTTCTTGTCATTTCAACTAGTTCGATTTCTGGCATCCATGAACAAAAAAAGAGACGAATATCCGTCGAGGGCATCTCAAAGTCGTCGCGAGTCTTGTGTTCCACCGAAATAACCCCAACAATGGAATGCAAAAACGCGCTGCGATGATAAATATAACCGAAAGCAATTACCGACCAGATGCGTGGTGAAACGAAAAGACCATTATTTTCATCCTTTCGGGCAATTAACGGGGCCGTCGCAGTTTTGCTTGCGACATTGTAGTCTTAATTTTCACTGTTGTTAAACAATTTTAACGAAGTTAGGACGGAGTTACATGTTAAATGGGGCGAAGTTGCTAACGCCTTGGCGTTACAAATCGACCTTATTAGGTAAAACTACCTGAAGCAACATTGTTAACTTAATTATGTTTAAAAATTTCGAATAATAATTCATGGCGTTTGAACAATTTTACTGGTAATAACAGATAATGTGAATCAATTAGATTGATTATGAAATGGAAGAAAGAACTAATAAATAAGAAAATTGTTGATAAAAGATACAAAAAAAGAAATAATTATTCACTTAAAATGCTAATCATAATAGAGCAAAAAGTGCTACATAATCACTATCGGTCAATTATAAGTTGGTATGAATATTTTCTTATTAGAAATAGCTTATTTTTAATTACACTTAAAAAGGTAATGAATGAAACATTACTTGGATTATTCTTAGTGGAGATTTTGTGAGAAATTAGTGACATCCACATTGATGTAATACCAACGTACTACGACTGCGGTTATTTCTAACTTTAGCAATGTAGAAATGCAGCCAAAAGGGAGGCGAAGATGCCAAGAAACCCGGTAGACATCCGGTGAAAAGGATAACATTAGTTAAGGGTACTTCTCTTTGCATGAGATTCAAACGGAGTAGGTAATAAAGAAACAATAATTTCATTTAAAATACACATTTTAAAATTACAAATAGGGGAATAATATACTAAGTGTTGCGTGTGTTGGTGTTTTTCTTAAGGGGCCGCTGTGCGTAAAGGAGTTTTTAATTGAATTAATTTCTAATTATTTAACGACAACCCCGTGTATCTTCAACCGCGATCACCGTTTGAAACGGTTCTTCTTCCAAAGTTCTATAAGATGCTTTAAGAGCTTCCGCTAAATCCACCGCTAGCTATGTACACAACAATTACCCACCCTATGATACATATCTTGAATTTAAATTGTACAGGCAGCGTAATTACGTCGGAATTACTTACGGCGATTTTAATAAAGGAATTGCTTCCCCTGGCGTATAATCACCACGCGAATATCCTTATAAGGCCTAACAAAAGGAAGCAATTTATATCGACAATTAGCCATAAACCGCTTCTTTGTCGAGATGGCCCTTCGGCGTATGAAATATCAAAAGCTTTTCACGGAGCGACCGCGATTCTTGGTATTTTCTATCAATGGCATACCGTCAACCATTATTATCTACGTTCATTTTCGCGAAATACGGTCTTTAGTTTGAAGTGATTAGATCGCATAATGAAGCTCGATAAAAAAAATATCGCTTTAATAAATGAAATACAAAGAACGGTGCCCATAAAATAAAACCTGTTTAATAGAAAATATATTGCGAAATTGTTGCCAGTGTTTATTTAATAAATATTCAAGATTCAACACCCACCACATTCGTGATCAATTACATTTTGAAGGAAAGATATCACATGCCAACTTCAATGCGAGTTGGCACACAACACATCCCAGGAAATAAATTTAAGAAACAATTTTTTTGAGATCCTTTCACTTACAATTATTTAAGGAAATTTCTTTTAACATTTTTGTACCATTGAATAATCTAACAAAACTAACCTTGAATATTAAGAGAATTTAGGATTCAACATAACACTAATGCCACTCAATATACTTGGTAATACTAGCACATATTACAGAAATTATCAAAAGCAAGTTTGAGGTGGAGTTAAGAGAGAGAGGGGGAAAGTTTGTAAGTGAATAGGGCGCTATTATCGAAGCCAATGGCTAAAATGGGGTCTACAAACGTAGGCATATAGTACGTAGTCAGTGCAGACCGGCTAGAGACAAACAGGAGCGAACACGTCACGGCACCCAAATAGAAATCCGTATAGCCAGCGGCCAATACATGCTAAAATGCTTCCGGTGTGACTAACGGCCGCCATGCCTCCTCTATAATTCGCGTCGTTCTGTCCTTTACCTCGCCTGTTTACTCCGGTGCCCGACGCCGCGCCGTTCTATATTAAGATGTGACAATTATCGCCGCCTGCCTGTGTGCGACTCTCGCCGTGTAAAATTAGTAGTCGGTCAAAACAGTAAGAAAAAGTGCCCAGCGCTATTTGTACGCGTAGTGTCCACATTCCGCGCTCCGCGAGACTATTTTTCGCAAACCGTTGGCCGCAGCCGTCTGTTAGAAGGTGAAGAACGGTAGTAATAAAAAAGTAAAGTGTTAAAGATGTCGAGTTCAATAAAGTAGGAATTGAAAATTACTTCACTACTTCCGCATATTTAAATAAAAAAGAAAACTTACATGCATTGTCTGGGACATGAGCAGGAGGCATCGGCCGTCTAATGGTGAAGTCCCGACTATGATCTTCTCGCTCTTGGGAGCGTTGCTTCAAGTGAATGTGGCCGTTGAACGAGTCCCTCACACGCGTGTCATTACCATCATCACTACTACCGACTAACTCACTGGGTGCGACGGAGGTTGTATTTCCCGCGAAAGAGTCCGTTTCGGGGCTGGAGTCTTGCACCTTGTATTTAGTTCGAAATCGAGATGGAACCGACGACTCTCGATTGAGCGTATTGACGACCGTCGAAAGGTACTCGCGTTTTTCGCGACTTATTAAACTAATATCACTGGTATGTGACGAATCGACGTTAAAACTACCTAAAACTATTTTGGAAGTGCTCGAACGGCTGCTGGAATCTTTAGTCGGACTGATGTTAATGCCGTTTTGGTGCGGCGATGCATAGCACCTGGTCGCTACAGTCAGCGTAACTACAACGAAGATGTATGCTGCCGCTGATAGCTGATGGCTACGGACGGCCGCGTGGCTTGAGGCCGTGGTCCTTTGAGCGACCAATGTCCCTGCATAAAGGGCACACACCGTGAACAGCACAATGGGCACTGCGTGACGACAAAGTGAAGTCAGAGTTTTCGGTGGTTTTATTACCGAGTGTTGCACCGATCTACTCGGTATCCTGTCATTCGGGTAGCGATGTTCTTTTTGCCTACCGGATGCGCGGCGCACGCGTTGGGTCCCAATCTGACGTCGATGTCCTTCGGTCAAATTTTGTGGGCACATCGCATTTCAATTTCTCGCTAGTGAGCATCATTGTTTAATGGTTCTTTTGGATTTTATGGACGCCTTTTCAGAAACAATTCAATTTTCTTGCTTTAGTGAACGCATGACGTTAATAATGATATCTGAAAAGAAAAGGAATGTAGTATCAGTATATAAAATGATTTATTAATACTTAGAATACTTGGAAGTTCAAGTGATAGATCTAATAAACGAATATATGTATATAGCTTTATAAGTGCTTCTTGCATCATTTAGTTTGAACATAATGTACATTTGCATTATAATCTACATCTAGTAAACATAATTAATGGACCAAATTAAAAATGTTGTATGAATGGACAAGGTGTTCTATACAATGGTCAGTTGAGAACATCTCTATGTTCTTCACTGAAATAGTTGCATACACAACGGACCCTTTCCCTGTGTCGGCGTTGGTCGTTTAGCCAAATCGAATTTCCTTCGGGTTCCTCTCTTGGGGCGGTTCCGAGAGCAACTTTTTAATTGGGTTCCGGCATAGTTCGTAGCCGCCCGCGACGGCACTAATGGCGTCCGAATCGATACCGCGGGCGGCCGCCACCGCCGCGACGCTTATTAGTATAACGGTAATATGTGAACACTGGCGAGGGTACGTCGGTCAGATTCCAGAGGTGTGTTTCGTCGTAAACACATACACCAGAGACGACTGGCGTCCGGCCAAGAACCGCTTTTAGAACGGGACCGACCGACTGCGCGCTTACTGTGCGCGACGTGTAACATTTTGCAACTTATAACTATGTTTTCATTCCGGGGGCCCTCGAACCGTCGACACTATCATTTTTCTAAACTCATTCATCTACCTACCAGAACAGCTTAAACAAATTAGATCTTAGCAAGTCTTCTTATTTCCATTCATGATTAATCTCTATTTTTAAGTACATCCATTAAGCATCCATAGTATGTTTACAGCAAGTTTATTCAAGTTTATTTATTTTAAGTATTACGAAATCGTCAATGTTTATTAAAAAGTTGTTTATTCCGCATGCGAAGTATAGCAATTTTTAGCGAAAACACGCTCATTAAGATACCGCAAATAAGTGTAATTTATCGTCGATAAAATTAATTTTATTTGTATCAATAAAGCAACGACTAGACCACGCTGACGACAATTTCGCATCAAAGCTGTCGTTATAAATGACTTTGTGATAAAGTTGTGATTATAAATACATTTAAAGTACCAAGAAAGATAAATTAAATTGTATCAACTCTTCCTCAATATATTATGTGTTTTGGATTATTATAATTATTTATCAAATTTCTTGGAATTAAACACTAATTAGAATTCTTCTTAGAATTCTTGGTTCACAATCATATTATAATGGCAGAACTTTATAAAAGGAAAATTGACAAAATAACAGAACTAAAATATTTAAAACAACTTATAAGACATATATTATATAATTGCATAGATGTAAAAACAGCAATTTATTGCGTATCCATCACCTTTTGCTTTAATTAAAAAATTTATTGTTACCAGAAAAATTATTAACTGTAAAACCTTTAATATCAAACTAATGCCATCTCTCTAAGGGAAGAATCAGAACCTCAGCCGCTTTGAGTAATTTGCAATGAAGTGCTTGTTAACAGCACCTTGAAACCAAACATCCGACTTACAAGGATAAACCTGTCGAGTATTTTAGAACACAATTGGCTGATTATAGAAAGAGTACTGTATCTTCTTTTCTGTCAGCTTCACAGGAAGATAGTAAAATGGCGCTTGAGGCATCACTTCGAGTAAGCCATAGAATTGCAAAATCTGGACATACAATTGCAGAAAATTTAATTGGACCATGTGCCTTTTGCACATTGCAAAGTGTATGCTTGGAGAAAAGGCATCAAAAAAATTTGACCTAGTTTCTTTATCAATTAACAGATACTGTATTATTTGTGTAGAATTATGATATGGTAAGTAATGTGAAGAATGAGCTTTTGAAAAGAATTATTTTGCGATCCAGCTTGACGAGTCGACCGATGTAGCAAACGCTGCAATATTGCTTGTGTATGTTAGATACACTTTTGAGAATTCCATTCAGGAAGATCTATATTTTGCAAAACCTTTAAAAACTTATACAATTGGAGAAGCAATATTTGATATGGTTAATAGTTATTTAAAAAAAATAGAATAAACTGGTCTTATTATTGTGTGGGTGTGTGCACAGATGGTGCAAAATCAATGACAGGAAAATTTTCTGGTTTTGTAGCACGGGTAAAGAAGATCAACGAAACAATTGAATGCATGTAAGCGTATTCCTACTGAACTATCTACTATTTTAAGTGAGGCTGCAATAATTGTAAATTTTCGATCTAGTAATTCCCGTTTATTTCATGCGCTTTGTGAAGACTTTGGAAGCCTTCACGTTTCTTTATTACTTCACACGGAAGTTAGATGGTTTTCCCGTGGCAAAGTTTTGACACGCTTGTTTCAGTTAAAATCTAAAGTTCAAATATTTCTTACTGATCATCCATTTCATTTACCTTCTTGTCTATCTGACATTCTTTGACTGCAAAAGCTTACATATTTAGCTGATATATTTTGTAAATTAAATGAATTAAATTTATCACTGCTAGGCACAGGTGTCACCATCTTCGGTGTGCATAATAGAATTGAATCCATGCTAAAAAAGTTTAACTTTTGGATCCAATGTCTGCAGATGAATGAGTACGAATGTTTTAGTTCCCTTAGCAGGTTTTTATCAGAAAAATTACAAATGTATGTGAACATCTCTAATATCTTCAATTAATTTTTGAATACTTCCCTAATAGACACACTATATCTCTAACAAGTAATTGGATATGTAGTCTTTTCCAAAAAGATCTAAATTTGGAGATCACTCTAACATTACTGCAAAAAGAAAAAATTATCGAGTTATCCTGTGAGAGCTCCTTAAAAGCGATTTTGAAAGACCACTCTTTAATAGACTTTTGGCTCAGCATTGGAAATGAATACGCCATTTTGTCAGAAAAAGCTATCAACGTTTTATTACTTTTTTGGACAACATATCTATGTGAGAAAGGATTTTCCACACATACTTACTTGAAAGATAAATACAGAAACAGATTAAATGCAGAACCTGATTTAAGACTGAAACTGTCAGACATTAATTCTGATTGTATCTCATTAAGAGTCTTGTGATAATTTTGTGTTTTGATTTTCTTGTATCTATTATTTTAGTCTTCATTCATATAAAGTTTGTGTTTAGATTTTTTACAGTTATGCTTTTATTTTTTGTTAGGAATTAACAGTGTTGTATCAATTGTCTTGTATGATTTTATTTTTTCTTACCTGTAAATAACAACTACACAAGGGGTTCGTCAATTTTTTTCTGACTTATAAGGGGTTCACAAGATGAAAAAGGTTGGGAAACACTGCTTTAGAACAACGTAATCATTGCCATTTATATCTATAATAGCTTCCTCAATTACACCGCGTTTTCTTTTGGGTTCTAACGGCAACCTTAGAAGATGTATTGACGGAAGCCCTAAAAGTTGAAGTCATCCTTCATCCCCACATCACACGAACTATCTACGCGGACGTCGTGGACCGTACATTACGACGACGGCGTCTGTGATTGATAACGACAAACGACGAGGCCAGGTGTTCTTAGTGACGTGGTCTGGTCCGGCAACGCGCTAAGTACGGTATTTATATTTTGACGGGACTGCGGCTGGCGAAACGCTACATTGTAAACGGAGTTGCATTTGTCCTGCCAGACGCTGCTTGAACGACAAATTATTTTTAAACCGACGCGAACTATTCACCAAGGAGTTACCGAAATCCGTTCAATTATCGCAAATAGTTGAGCGAAAAAATCGCCGCGTTCTTCGCGAGACGTCGTTCTAGTCGTCGGGGTCGTTGTGTTCCCTTCACAAAGGACTCCAAATTTAACGGGCTCCCGTTATATTAAGATCCCTCTCTCCTACTATAAAAAGCGGCCTGCGGTTTCTATAGTTCGGACTGCAACACGAGTGTTGATGCAATTGCCCTGGCCTTGAGCCGCAGGAAGAAATTATCTGCGAGTGTTGCGGCGATTTGCGATCCAGGAAACGCGGCATCTCCTGCGTTTTATGTGCACTCATCCAGCCTTGGTCCCGCATGAATAGAATCCGTTCATTCATATGCGAGCAACGTAGTCTATTGGAAACGCAATCCGGATCACCAATTAGATAAATAGACTACCATGACTCGTCGTGACACCCGGAAGTTAGCTTTTCATCCAGTGGCGTTTATGGATGATATTCAAGTTCTCTTTATACTATTTTTCTTTAATTCTGCTTCTTTCTTATTCCTCATGTAATATTTATAAAACAGTATTAAAATACTTTCGCAGATATACTAAATTCTTCCAGAAGAATTTAAAAGTCTTGGAACTTAATAAATCTTATCTGGTTTCGAGATATGCGTACGTGCTTTAAAATGAATAAATTTTAAGATTATTCTACGCATTTTATGTTGCATTGTTTTTTTATATTATAAATAACAGTTATCTTTAAATCTGATATGATATAAGTATTTTAAATTATTCCTGTTTTTCATATTTGGAAAATTTTAACGATAACTTTCATTACAAAAACAAATTCATTCTTTGTAGATGAGTGCTCGCAAATATGATTACAAATGCTACTTTGTACTTTAGACTATGCAAAAAAGTATTACATCTCGATAAGCAAGGAAAAATGTGGCAGATTAGGTCTTTACAACCGACTAATCTTTGTTATTATTGTTGTTTGTTTTCGTGCGAGTTCGTCAGTTCTTTGGCATGGGCGCCGAGAAACTCTGTGTACGTCTCTCGAATAGGAAATGAGACTACCACGCGTTCGAAGTTTCTCTACTCGAGAGAAAGAGAGAGCTCGGACGTGCGTATTATAATGAGAAGGCGGGAGATTTTTAAGGTTAAAGATCTTTAGATTCTGGTTCTCTAACAACCAAAAAAAAACAACAAAAGGTGTCTAAAGATTAAGGTATAGATTTTTTGGGGGCGGTGGTGGAAAACAAACGTAGTTTTGAAACGTACTTTGGGTTTTGAAAATCCGAATCTTCAAACGACGACCATGTAGCGGCGTCGCACCACCTCTGGTAGCAGCATTTGGCAGCCACCACCGTGAAGTTCTGGTTCAGAGAGTCAGGCGTGCATTCTTTTGCGTACAGCACACGCGCGCACACGTTCGCCAAGCAAATAATAGTAGTAGCCGGCGGTCGGATTCTGTTTTGGCGTTTCGGGATCGGAACGAGAAGAGAGAGGTTATGTTCGATTTTGGGTTAAGGAGACAACGACAAAACCGAATGAATGATAACGGGTGGTGGTTTTTGGGTTTGACGGCGGCGACGTTTCGTGCTGCCTATCGGTTTTTCGGGCGAGGCACGCGCACCGCGGATCAATTTCTCTTGGTCTTCTGTGAGTTTGGTTATAAATAATGGGCGAGCTACGGTCCAACCGGCAACAGGACTGTACGGTGCGCCGTCGGATACTGACGTCCTTTTCAGACGGTGTGATCCAGGTTGGCCAGACGGGAAAACCGAACGCCACGTCGGCATGTCTCGTTCAAACCCGAACACGAGCACGCGGCCGGCGTCGCAGTGTAGGCAACCTTACATTACGTAATTCACGTCGCGATGTTACTATTCTTTATTATTTTCGACTATTTTTAGTTACTATTTACAAAAACAATCTAAAAATAATTTGTGTCGTAGTCATTATAAATTACAAAAAAAAAATGTTTTTTTAATTTTGAATTCACCTGTATACAATTTTACTAGAACAAAAGAGTGTAACACAACACATATTAGCAAAAACTTCTCTAGTTGAAACAAAACAGAAATTAGTAAACAAATCAAAATGCTTAAAAATTCAAGCATTAGCTATAAATACGTGTATTTACACTTTTAACAGCATTTCTGTGTTTTATTGCCATGTTTCCCTGATGATGGTATCACTTCTGCGAAACCGGTGGTTACACAAACGTACGAAATATATCATTTTTTAAGTACAACACTTATAAGATGCGGTTTGCCCAGTACGATTAAACGAAGCGTTTTTAAGCATCGATTAATCGCGTGGATAAATCGTGTAGGTATAGTTTATTACATATGCGACCATATTTTCGATTTATTAATCGCAGCGTAGTACAGCTGAATTAAAAAAGTTTCAATTACTGAAATTGTCCTAAATATTGTTAAATGTAAGTTTTTTCCTTATAATATTGTTTTAGTCGCAGTGTAGGCAACTTCACATTACATAATATTCACGTCGCGATCATACTATTCTTTATTTTCGACTATTTTTGGTTACTATTTACGAAAACAATCTAAAAATAATTTATGTCGTAGTCATTACAAATTACAAAAAAAAAAGTTTTTTTAATTTTGAATTCACCTGTATACAATTTTACTAGAACAAAAGAGTATAACACAACACATATTAGCAAAAACGTCTCTAGTTGAAACAAAACAGAAATTAGTAAACAAATCAAAATGCTTAAAAATTAAAGCATTAGCTATAAATACGTGTATTTACACTTTTAACAGAATTTCTGTGTTTTATTGCCATGTTTCCCTGATGATGGTATCACTTCTGCGAAACCGGTGGTTACACAAACGTATGAAATATATCATTTTTAAGTACAACACTTATAAGATGCGATTTGCCCAGTACGATTAAACGAAGCGTTTTTAAGCATCGATTAATCGCGTGGATAAATCGTGTAGGTACAGTTTATTACATATGCGACCATATTTTCGATTTATTAATCGCAGCGTAGTACAGCTGAATTAAAAAAGTTTCAATTACTGAAATTGTCCTAAATATTGTTAAATGTAAGTTTTTTCCTTATAATATTGTTTTAGTCGCAGTGTAGGCAACTTCACATTACATAATATTCACGTCGCGATCATACTATTCTTTATTTTCGACTATTTTTGGTTACTATTTACGAAAACAATCTAAAAATAATTTATGTCGTAGTCATTACAAATTACAAAAAAAAAAGTTTTTTTAATTTTGAATTCACCTGTATACAATTTTACTAGAACAAAAGAGTATAACACAACACATATTAGCAAAAACGTCTCTAGTTGAAACAAAACAGAAATTAGTAAACAAATCAAAATGCTTAAAAATTAAAGCATTAGCTATAAATACGTGTATTTACACTTTTAACAGAATTTCTGTGTTTTATTGCCATGTTTCCCTGATGATGGTATCACTTCTGCGAAACCGGTGGTTACACAAACGTATGAAATATATCATTTTTAAGTACAACACTTATAAGATGCGATTTGCCCAGTACGATTAAACGAAGCGTTTTTAAGCATCGATTAATCGCGTGGATAAATCGTGTAGGTACAGTTTATTACATATGCGACCATATTTTCGATTTATTAATCGCAGCGAAGTACAGCTGGATTAAAAAAAGTTTCATTTACTGAAATTGTTCTAAATATTGTTAAATGTAAGTTTTTTCCTTATAATATTGTTTTAGTCGCAGTGTAGGCAACCCTCACATTATATAATATTCACGTCGCGATGTTACTATTCTTTATTATTTTCGACTATTTTTAGTTACTATTTATAAAAACAATCTAAAAATAATTTGTATCGTAGTCATTATAAATTACAAAAAAAAATGTTTTTTAGTTTTGAATTCACCTGTATACAATTTTACTAGAACAAAAGAATGTAACACAACATATATTAGCAAAAACTTCTCTAGTTGAAACAAAACAAAAATTAGTAAACAAATCAAAATGCTAAAAATTAAAGCATTAGCTATAAATACGTGTATTTACACTTTTAACAGCATTTCTGTGTTTTATTGCCATGTTTCCCTGATGATGGTATCACTTCTGCGAAACCGGTGGTTACACAAACGTACGAAATATATCATTTTTTAAGTACAACACTTATAAGATGCGGTTTGCCCAGTACGATTAAACGAAGCGTTTTTAAGCATCGATTAATCGCGTGGATAAATCGTGTAGGTACAGTTTATTACATATGCGACCATATTTTCAATTTATTAATCGCAGCGTAGTACAGCTGGATTAAAAAAAGTTTCATTTACTGAAATTTTCCTAAATATTGTTAAATGTAAGTTTTTTCCTTATAATATTGCTTTAGTCGCAGTGTAGGCAACCTCACATTATATAATATTCACGTCGCGATGTTACTATTTTTTTATTATTTTCGACTATTTTTAGTTACTATTTATAAAAACAATCTAAAAATAATTTGTGTCGTAGACATTATAAATTGAAAAAAAAAAATGTTTTTTTAATTTTGAATTCACCTGCATACAATTTTACTAGAACAAAAGAGCGTACAACACATATTAGCAAATACTATCTAGTTGAAACAAAACAGAAATTAGTAAACAAATCAAAATGCTTAAAAATTAAAGCATTAGCTATAAATACGTGTATTTACAATTTTGACGGCATTTCTATGTTTTATTGCCATGTTTCCCTGATGATGGTGTCACTTCTGCGAAACCGGTGGTTACACAAACGTATAAAATATATCATTTTTAAGTACAACACTTATAAGATGCGGTTTGCCCAGTACGATTAAACGAAGCGTTTTTAAGCATCGATTAATCGCGTGGATAAATCGTGTAGGTATAGTTTATTACATATGCGGCCATATTTTCGATTTATTAATCGCAGAGTAGTACAGCTGGATTAAAAATAGTTGTATTTACTGAAATTGTCCTAAACATTGTTAAACCTAAGTTTTTTTCCTTATAATATTGTTTTAGTCGCAGTGTAGGCAACCTCACATTACATTATATTCACGTCGCGATCTTACTATTCTTTATTATTTTCGACTAATTTTAGTTACTATTTACGAAAACAATCTAAAAATAATTTGTGTCGTAGTCATTATAAATTACAAAAAAAAAATGTTTCTTTAATTTTGAATTCACCTGTATACAATTTTACTAGAACAAAAGAGTGTGACACAACACATATTAGCAAAAACTTCTCTAGTTGAAACAAAACAGAAATTAGTAAACAAATCAAAATGCTTAAAAATTAAAGCATTAGCTATAAATACGTGTATTTACACTTTTAACGGCATTTCTGTGTTTTATTGCCATGTTTCCCTGATGATGGTGTCACTTCTGCGAAACCGGTTGTTACACAAACGTATGAAATATATCATTTTTAAGTACAACACTTATAAGATGCGGTTTGCCCAGTACGATTAAACGAAGCGTTTTTAAGCATCGATTAATCGCGTGGATAAATCGTGTAGGTATAGTTTATTACATATGCGACCATATTTTCGATTTATTAATCGCAGCGTAGTACAGCTGAATTAAAAAAGTTTCAATTACTGAAATTGTCCTATTGTACTATTTACAAAAACAATCTAAAAATAATTTGTGTCGTACTTAGTCATTATAAATTACAAAAGAAAATGTTTTTTTAATTTTGAATTAACCTGCATACAATTTTACTAGAACAAAAGAGTATAACACATATTAGCAAAAGCTTCTCTAGTTGAAACAAAACAGAAGTTAGTAAACAAATCAAAGTGCTTATAAATTAAAGCATTAGCTATAAATACGTGTATTTACACTTTTAACAGCATTTCTGTGTTTTATTGGCATGCTTCCCTGATGATGTTACTTCAGCGAAACCGGTAGTTACACATACGTATGAAATATATCATTTTGAAGATTAAACGAAGCGTTTTTAAGCATCCATTAATCGCGTGGATAAATCGGGTAGGTATGGTTTATTATATATGCGATTAAAAAAAGTTTTATTTACTGAGATTCCTTATAATCTTGTTTAAGTGATAAATTAAATTAGTTTGTTCGACAATAAAACGTAATTCTTCTTATAGATCATTTAGATCATGAGGATTACGGCGTCATTTAGAAAGCGTCATAAAGCATCATGAAGCGAAGATACGAGAATCCCGTTCTTGTTGACTTGTAGTACGTAGGATTCTAGAGTTTTTCCACTACCAAACCCAAACTTCCTGGTGTATCGTTTCCTTCCTTTGACTACAATAAATTCTAGGAGCACTTGCCAAATCATCGATTAGCTCCATATCGGTAAACCAATTAGTTGCAATATTACGGCCGGATCCAAATGAGAGTGACACAAAAAGCGCATAGAGGCTGTTTTCCAGCATAAATTTTCATGTTGAATGTATAAATCGTCTTGGCATTAACGTGCAAAACATTTTACACCATACTTGTTCAGGTGGGCGGTATGTACTGCTGAAATGCACAGCTACTTCGAAAACTTAGAACCATTTTATCGATTGTAACGTTCTCTAAAACACTATAGCTTTTCGGACAGTTTTCCACATATTTTTCAAACATGCCTTGATGGTGCGCAATCCGCCTTGATTTCCACGATTTTTACTATCGTTCATATCATTGACACATTCGACATTATAACAATAAGTGAAGAAAGTAGACTAATAGGAGGCACAGATTACACTTCCTAGGAGTGAAAGAGGGAACCGAACAAT